CCGGTGGTGGAGGTGGCTCGCTTGCTGGTAGTCCTGACAAGGGGGCTGGGGCTAGTGCCTCGGCGCAGCAGCCTCACCAGTAGCAGCAGCAGGCGCCACAGCTGGACCAGCAGCAGCAGCAGCGGCGGGTCGGTCGTCTCCCGCCCGGGTGGCCTGGAGCTGGAGGTGACGGTGTTCGCAGTGGTCGCTAGTGCGGTGTGCCGTCGGGTGGTGGCGAGAGTGACGGGCGCTGCCAGTACCAGCTCCAGACCGGTCCTCGCCGAGGCCTCGTGTGCGGCAAGATCGGCCATACCCCCCCCCCCCCCCCCGTTGCTTTCGTCGCCTAGACGACCTGTTTCGTCTCCGCTTCGGCCCGTCGCCTGACTTCCCCGACTGGCAGAGTCTGCTCCGTCATCAAGTTCAGATCTTTGATATGGACATGGATAAGATTAGCTCTACTTTGTATGCGATGTCTGTTGATGACTCTAGTGTGACTGGTTCCTATTACCCTGTGTTGCCTAGCGTAGGTGTGCCCAGTGTGCCTACATCAGGCTCCCCGGCTACGTCAGTCGTAGGATCCCCTGCCTTGTTTAGCCTAGGGTCCACCCTCCCTCCTCCGACCTCGGTCGCTGCTGCCGCACTCTCCTTCACCCTGGACTCCGGCGCTTCCCAGTGTTTCTTTCGCGACTCCATTACGCTTACGCCGCTTGCTGCTCCGGCTACAGTTGCTCTTGAAGACCCTTCCTCCGGTCTTGTAGTTGCCCATGGCTCCACTACTCTCCCCTGTCTGGCGGTTCCCTCAGGCTCCCTTACAGGCCTGCACATCCCCTCGTTCACTAGGAACCTAGTTGGTGTCGGCTGCCTCCAGGACCTTGGCGTCACCACTACATTCCCTGGGCATGAGCGATACGCTGTCTGTACTGATGCCGCCACTGGTGTCCCCCTCACCACGTTCCCCCGGGACCCGGTGTCTGGCCTCCCCACGCTGGGCACCACTTTCTCCATGGTTGGGACGCCTCCCCAAGTACGTGCGTCTTCCCAAGTTGCTGCGGCGTGCTCGTCTCGGTTGCTTACTCACCTGTCGCTTCTGTGGCACCACCGTCTAGGTCACCCCGCCCTCACCCGTCTCCGTCACATGTCCCAACACCGTCTTGTCCTAGGCCTCGCTGAGTCGTTCCCTGCGCTCCCCTCCTCACCCGCACCTCCGTGCACGCCCTGCGTCGAGGGCCGGCTCCGCCGTGCCCCTCAGTCCTCCTCGTTCCCCCCTACCTCCGCACCGCTGCAGACCTTGCACATGGACGTCTGAGGCCCCACTCTTGTCTATGGGCCGCGTTGCGAGCGCTACTTCTTAGTGCTTGTCGACGACTACACCCGCTACACCACCGTCTTTCCCCTAGAGCGGAAGGCCAACGTGCCTGACGTTCTTCTCCCGTGGCTTGTCACTGCGCGTGTTCACCGAGGTCTCCCTGTCTTGCGTCTTCACTCCGACCGTGGTGGCGAGTTTGCCTCTGGCTGCCTTGGTCGCTTCTGTCATGCGGAGGGCATCACCCAGACGTTCACCCTGCCGGAATCCCCACAGCAGAATGGGGTCGCTGAGCGACGCATCGGTTTGGTTCTGGAGGTTGCTCGTACCTCCATGATCCATGCCGGTGCAACCCATTTTCTGTGGCCATTCGTCGTTCGCTACGCCGCTCACCAGCTTAACCTCTGGCCGCAGGTTTCGCCGACCCTCCTCTGGACCGGGTCCCCTGGTGACTCGTCTGCGTTCCACCTCTAGGGCTGCCTTGCTCACGTTCGTGCCTCTGGCATGGACAAGCTCACTGCCCGCATTGTCCTCTGTACCTTCCTAGGTTTCCCCCTCGACTCATCGGACTGGCAGTTCTACCACCCTCCTTCTCACCGGTTCTTTCACTCTTATGACGTCGCTTTTGATGAGTCCGTCTCTTTCTACCACCGCTTTCCCCACCGTGGTCCCCTGGTCACTCTCCCTCAGTTCCTGGTGCCCCCCCCTCCCCCGGTCGACCCTGTCCACCCCCCTCCCCGCCTTGCCCCGTCTGGTGTGTCTAACGTCACCCCCCTCCCGTCAGTTGTCCCTGCTGAGGAGTCTGCTGACTCTCGCGGCTTGGCGGAGTCTCTTCCCCCGCCTGTCCGTGCCCCAGGCTCGCCTCCCCTGTCGCCGCCGCTGCTGTCCCCGCCGCAGCCGCAGCCGCCGTCGTCACCGCCGCTGGGGATTGTGCGTTCTGGGGGTACTGGGGAGCAGGCTGGAGCTGGTTCTGGTGCGAGCTCTGGGGGTGCTGGAGTGGGGCTTCTCGGAGGGAGTCGTATTATTGCTGGAGGTTCAGGTGTTGGAGTCGGGCAGCAGTCGCAGCTGTCACCGCCGGTGTCCGCTCTTCGCCTCCTCGGTCTCCCTTCCCCTGACCGCCTGTCGCTACCTCCCCCGCCTCCTCCTCTGCCGGTCCACGGCCCCGTGTTTCCTCCCCCGTACTCCTCTCCAGCTCGTTTCCCTCCCCATTCTCCTCTTGTGTCTCCTCCCCTCTCTCCTGACCCGACTCCTCCGTCTCACGTCTGGTCTCGTTGTCCGTCTCGTGCTCGTCCTACCTCCCCTGTTCCGCGTTCTCACCCTATGTTGCTTCGCTCTCATGCGTCTCGTGCTCCTCCTCTCCTCCCGTCTCCTCCTCCGTCGTCACTTGCTGTGGCCCCGCCTCCGTTCTTGGACTTCCTCCGTGCTGCGCATCCCCTTGTTCCTTGTGTCCTTGCCTCTCTCGTTACCGACCCTTCCGTTCCTGTCTCGAGTCTGACGGCTCTTGTTGCTGCTGTCACTGACTTCGCCGCTACCCGCCGCCTGAACGGGGAAGTCCGTTCCTGTCTCGAGTCTGACGGCTCTTGTCGCTGCTGTCATTGATTTCTGGCCTCGGACCCTGCCTGTCCCCCGACCGGCGGGGGTGTGGCTGCTCTTGACAGTGACGTCCTAGAGGACAGGCAGTTCGAGCTCGCTTTCCTGTCTAAGGCCGCTCCCCATCTCTGTTCCATGCCACTAGTCCCTGAGGGTGATCCATACGCCCTCGACATCCCGACGCCTCGCACCTACGTTGAGGCCACCTCGGAACCCTGGGCCTTTCAGTGGATAGCTGCCATGGAGCAGGAGATGGCATCTTGGCGATCCATCGGTACCTTCGTCGATGCAGTTCCCCCACCTGGGGTGAACGTAGTCAATGGCCGGTGGCTCTTTAAGATGAAGCGCCCTCGTGGAGAGCCGCCTGTCTTCAAGGCGCGCTACGTCGCTCGAGGCTTTAGTCGGCGTGAGGGGGTGGACTTCTTTCAGTCCTTCGCCTCGACCCCGAAGATGACCACTCTTCGGGCACTGCTACACGTAGCAGCACAGCGTTACTACGAGCTGCACTCCCTCGACTTCTCCACAGCATTTCTCCAGGGCAGTCTACACGAGCAACTCTACCTGCGCCGCCCCCAGGGCTTCTCCGGTACCTTCCCCTCTGGCACCGAGTGGCTCCTCCGGCGCCCAGTCTACGGCTTGCGACAGGCGCCCCGTGAGTGGTAGGACACGTTGCGTGCTAGACTTGCTGACTTGCAGTTCTTCCCTTCGTCCGCAGACCCCTCGCTCTTTGTCCGTTCTGACCAGACTCTGTTCTACATCCTTGTCTACGTAGACGATTTGGTCTTTGCTACTGCAGACAGAGACACACTGGCCACCGTGAAGGCCGAGCTGCTGAGGAGACACACCTGCACTGACCTAGGAGAGCCGCGCCGCTACCTTGGCTTGCAGATCTCCAGGGACAGAGCCGCGCGCACTATCACTCTCTCACAATCACACTTGGTGCGCCAGGTCCTTCAGAGGTTCGGCCTTCAGTTCTCTTCCGCACAGCCCACCCCTCTGCCAGTAGACCACAAAATATCTGCCCTAGTCCCAGAGGAGGCTGTAGAGCCTAGTGGTCCCTACGCAGAGCTGGTGGGTTGCCTCATGTACCTGACGACTTGCACTTGTCCAGATCTTGCATACCCTCTCAGCATCCTAGCTGTGAGGCTGAGATCTACCCCGGTGCCATGGTGGCACAAGAGCTCCGCTGGCTGACCTTCTTGCTCACCGACTTGGGTGAGCGGCCTAGCTCTGCCCCAGTTCTGTACGCTGACAACAGGGCCATGATCCTCCAGTGTCAGGAGCCACGACTTGAGGGCAGAGCGAAGCACATCTAGCTGCGGTACTTCCTCCTGCGCGAGTTGCATTAGCGTCGCCACGCTCGTGTAGTACACTTGGCCTCCGGTGCCAACACAGCTGATAACTTTACTAAGGCACTTGCGCCTAAAGATCATCAGCAGCACTGTGTACAGCTAGGTCTCGTTCCTGTAGCCTCTCACTTGCTAGCACCTTGATTGTGTATAGACCTTTATATATATTACCCAGACTGGCCTTGTGGTCTCTTCCCAGTGGGTGGACTAATAGTGCCATCCTGGTCTTGGTCTTGCCTTGTCTGTACTTGTTTGACTGGTCGTTAGACCCCTGCCTCAGAGGCTAGACTAGTAGTGTGCCACCCTGAGCTGTTTCTCTCTCATCAGGCACTGCCCCTATCCAGTCTAGGGGGTGTGTCAAACATACAAACATATATTGTATATTACAGTAGACTATATAGGGTTGTGCCTTAGGGGGTACAACCCATTTAGGCTATATACCCCTGTTTGTCCTGTTCTAGTCAAATCTTCTCACTTGAACACATGGGTCCATCCATGGGTCCATGGAAGCTGCAGGTGGTGCTAGCTAGCCCCCCTTTCATGCATGCACCTCGCACTAGTTGACCTCCTCGAGTGCACCTCGCTGTCCCTAGTCTCTCTGTTCAATGCATCTGGACTAGGTACTTGTTGACCTTTCAATGCATCTGGGTGGGCTAGTCTACCCTTCAGCCCCCAACTGATGCCACTGAAATGGCAGCACCTCACATCACATCACGTGCTATTCATGCCCTACCACGCCCAGTGTAAATCCCAAATCACCATTCAAGCTTATTGGGCCAGAAGGAAAACCAATTGTATTGATCTGCATTCTGCATGCATATCACTACCGTACTGACTGCGCTGAGTTCGCAACCAAGTCCCCAGGAAAACAGCCCCAGTGGCAGCTGAGCTGGCTGAACAACAGCAGTCCTAGTGTTTCTCTAGCACTGCCAACCAGCATTGACTGCCAACTCAGCATTCCTTCCCCACCCCACCCCATCCTGCTTGTGGAAAGCACAGCACAGCACACTGTTCCACCATTCCTCGCTCCTGCTACATGCTTCCCATCCCATCCCATAGTCATATCAGATCACCTCCACATGATGACACTCGTAGCATGGCATGGCATTATGGAAGCCTTTACAATCAGTAGTAGCAACCGAATGAGGGCCACTGCCTGCTCCCCATATTCCTTCCCTCCACTTCCACAGCCTACTACTCATTCCTCAGGTGCGGTAACTATCTACTCACCACTCCTCCTCCTCCCCCCCCCCTACCTTGCCTGCACCCATCCCTCCGAATTCCAGCATTTCCTAGCAACCACACACTCAGTCCCATTCACTGTTGCAGCACCAGCAGCAGCCCCTGCAACCGCACCTGCACCCGCATCCCCTGACACCCCTCCAAAGGACAGCACCACCTCCCCATCCCCCCCCAGCGGCAGCTGCACAAAGTCCTGTCTGCAGTACCCCAGGTCCAGCCCGTGCCACGCACACACCCCCTCCAACGCCCCATGCATCACCACCCCCACCGCCACCTCATCAGATGCCGTCAGAGGGGCAGAAACTGCAGCAGACGAAGCGGAAGAAGCTGATGACAAGGAAGGGCCTTGAACAATGATCTTCCCAGTAGTGGCAGCCTGGGAGATATTCCGTGCAAGGGACAACAATACAGAGATCCCTCCTATGTCTTCCTCCCACAGTCTCACCGGCCGGTCTCTCAGAAAATGTTTCCGGCACCCCAGGGCCGCGTCCCCGCCCACCCCCTTGATGCTCTCCGCAAAGCAATCCGCTACAGTCACATTCAGAAAAGCCACATCTGCCTCCGCCCATGTCTTCGCCTCCTCAACCACGGCACCAGGCAGCCCCTGGCTCGCCGCAGCAGGGGGGCGCTTTGCAGCGTCAGCAGCAGCCGGGTTGAGCGGCCAGAAGGGACCCGGGTGGCACTGGTGCTGCAGATACGGCAGACCAGACGACAGCACGAGGGACTCAAACCGCGGCGAGTACACATGAAACGGCATGATCTCCACCACGGGGGTTTCCCGGCTGGCGAAGGCAGCGGCTGTAGCGAGCTCTTCCCCATGGAGCCCTAGGATGATGTCAGCGCGGCGGATGGCGGTATAGGAGCGGGCGAAGGAGGTGTCGCGCATGGCTGCCTCGGACACAGTGAAGGATAGCTTGGTCCGTAGGGTGGAGATGAGAAGGTCGTGGCTGTCGGGGACTAGTGACCGCACGGCTGCGTCTGCTTGCCGGACGAACACGAGGTTTGAGGCGTCGGGAGGGGCAGTGGTTGCGGCGTCCGCTGCTGTGGTGGTCGCTGCAGGCGTTGGTTCCGGTGACGCTGAGGACGCGGGAGCAGCAGCAGAAGCAGGAGCAGTAGCATCAGCAGCACCACCAGCACCAGCCAAACCTAGTTTCGCATCGACCTTTTGTAGGAAAAGCTCAGCCTGTATGCGGCCCAGGGGGTAGATAGTCCCATCCAGCACGCCCGGCAGCACCACATGTTCGAAGCACATGGGCGCATCCTCCGTGGCGGCCGCCCACTGCCCCTCAAACTCCACCTTGCGGCCCCCCTCGTCCTCCACACTCGCTCTCTCTGCCCCCTCTCCCCTCCCCCCCCCCCCTGCCCTGCCAGTGTAGGCACCGGCTCCTGGGGATCCACCAGCTTGGCTCTCTCCCACTCCCTGCTTGCTGCTTCACCATCACCACCAGCAGCAGAGCTGCTATTCCCACCAGTACTACTCGACTCAAATGCCGCTGCCAACAGCTGCTCTAGCACGCCCACCTGGAACCCGTCGGGCCCCAACCCCTTGAGCACAGCACGGTAGTACGAGTCCCTGGGGAACACAAACCGGTGCACGGGTGGCAGCAGCCCAGGCACCGTCGCGTTGTTGACCAGCAGAATGGGAAAGAAGCGCGCCACAAAGGCCGAGACGTCCTCTGTGCTGGCCTCCATTCTTTGGATAAACGATCGGCCCAGCCGCCATGCCACCGGCCCTTTCCTCTTGGCGATCCAATCCGACGGCCGGGTGGCGATCGGCCGGAATTCCCCAGCTTTACGGACCAGGTCGAGCGGATCCTGGCCGTTGATCTTGGTGCGGCAATCGAGGGCTGTGATGGGTGTCCCGAAGGCGACGTCCGAGGTGAGGTGCTTGCAGGGGATGGGCGCCTGGGGGTTGGCGGTCTGAGCTATGAGCTGACGGCCGTCCCAGCAGAGAAGATCGCAGGTGCAGAGAACCTGGGTGTGTGTGGTTGGTTGAGGAGGGAGCAGCAGACAGGGGCGTGGGGGGGGAGGGGGGGAGGGGAGGGGGGGAGGGGAGGGGGTTTTGGTGGAACGAGAGATAATTGAGTGTGTTGAGCTGAGATTGAAACAGAGCGTTATGTTTTAGGGCGCCTCTAAAGCGGGGGGGGTGTGAGGTGGGGATGCAGGGCGAGACGAGCGAGGAGTGCACTGATACGAGTTGAAAGAGAATGCGAGGGAGGGGGGAGTGAGAGGGCATGTGTTGGAGATGAGAGGGTAGAACGGAGACATACACGGAAGGCGCATTCCTTACCTTCTACCCGCTTCCCTCTTCCACTCGTCCCCTCTACGACCCCGCTCCTTGGCCGAACCACGTCGACGGACAGGAGACATACACGGAAGGCGTTTCCTACGGAATAGAGGCGCACAGCACAGGCCGCTCTGCAAATCCCAACCCTAGAGAGGAGGAGAGGGCTTACAGGCCGCTCTGCAAGGCACATCACATGGATTGCGTTTCGTCTGGGACTTAACAAAGTAAACAATTCGTTCTCCAGATTCTGACACCAGGACGGAGGGAGGGGGGGCGCGGAGAGGGGGTGGGGTGAGGGCGAGAAAGGGGGGGGGAAGGCGGGCGGATGGGGGCGGGGGGCTTACATGAAAGGCTCCCCCGGGGCCTGTGACCGTTTGGAAGCATCCGCAAGACGACTTGCCTCGCACCAGCGCGCTCAGCCGCTCCCGCCGCGTTCGTTCCGCCTGCGCCTGCTTCCGCGCCGCCTCCTCCCTGCGCGCCTTCGGGTCTGACACCGCCACGTGTACCTCCATCGCCTGCACCGGCTCCTGCTGCTTCGCCGCCAGCATTGCGGCGGCGGCGGTGGCGGCGGCTGCAGCGGCGCCGCCGCCGCCGTCCGTCCCGCCGGCGGCAGCGGCACCGGCCGGCTCGGCGACGGTGGCTAACTCGGCGTTGATTGCGGCGAAGCGCTGGGAGATTAGGCCGGGTTTGGAGGGCTTGTATGCGCGCGGGACGGAGAAGAGGAGAGCGACGATGACGACGCACGGGAGCACGAGGAGCAGCTGCAGGAAGAGCAGCGCGCGGGGATTGCCCGGCGCGAAGAGCGACGACGCGAAACGCTTAGCCTCCCGCATGGTCGGAGAGCGAGAGTGGGTCGACGATGGGTGGAGGAATAAGTTACTGGAAGCGATTCGGTGCTACGTCCAGGTAGTTAGAGTCGTAGCTAGAGTCGTAGACTGATGCGCGATCGTGCAATCAACGCCAGTTAGCCACCGCGATCGTGCTGGCGCGTGGATGGTGAATCGTCGTCGGTTGCGACAACACTATTGAATGAATCCAAGGAGTCCTTGGAGAGGTGACGAATATGGATCATGGGCTGTGAGATAGGGAGGAGATCATGATGGGTCGCCGAAATCCCGAAGAAATGTGGAGAGAATCTCTACGGATCTACAAGCTGCCGCCTTGTCTCGAGGCCTGCGTGTGTCCCCGGCAGATATAAGTTATGATGAATACTACTAAATTCCGCTGCGCGGCTGGGCCTATTGCACGCCCCACACCAGGCGCTGAATCGTACCGTGGCGTTCCCGAAAACTATCCGAGGCAAGCTGGTGCGACGACACGAGACTCGCGGAATATAGCAGGCATCAGACGTCAATTCTCTCCCGCTAATCGCGGCCGAAACGATCGTGGCTGGTGCGTGGGTGTAGCAATCGAGTATTGGTGCTCCGGAGTGCGTTAAAACCCGAGTCTAGAATGGTTTGCTATGGAGTTCAGAATCCTGCTTTAGCTGCAGACGGGGTTGTTGGGGGTAGTTCGGGTTTGAGTGCAAGGGTGTGCCCCAATAGTAGTACGTTTAGTTGCGGTGCAGTAAGGTGCTTTGCGTTAAAGGACTTTCAACTAGCAATTTCGAATGGTTGTATACGGTATTGGGGGAGAAAGGAGTACATTTGGGACATGATTACGAGGATGGTTGAGGCTATTTTCCCTGCTGCTTGTGTTGTACATGCAATCACATTCTTCCCTCCAAAGTATGGAATCCAATCTATACTTCTCCCCTATTCTGATTATTCCGCTTCTAATCCGATATCATGCAGATGATTTAGTGACTAAAATCATGCTACTTTGAGAACGCGGCTAGGTCAGATTTCGCATATTTTTATTTTGGTAAATAGTGGTATTCTTCTCCCATAATGTAACCCTGATGTTAGTCTGTTTTGATATCTGGCTGTTCATATCGTTACATAGGGCACCCCGCTGTCGGAAATTGCTGACGTTGGCAGGCATCTCACCTCTTCCCACCTTTCCGCCTCTATGGTCAGATACACCTCCACCAGTTGAGCTGTCATCATCTCAAAGCTACCATTGGCTCGCTGACGCTGCCCAGGTTCAACTTCCTCCCAACTTCAGTGCCTAACCAAAAGAAGGAACACCAAACCAACGGCAAAAGGTCTTTCGCACCACTAATCTCACCAGGCCTAAACGCCAAACCTATCACCGAGCCTAACTTCGAAACGCTGGCGATTCGATTCGGTTTTTTTCTGAGAGTGTATATATCTGGCTAAATTGGAAACAAAACTAGGAGTCTCCCATTTTTTATCTTCCAACTCCGAAGGATCACACCATCAGAACGAGTCTCTCCCACCAACCTTGCATCGAGTTGAGACGGAGCGCTTGCCAGTTGATCCCCGTTCGCAGAGGAACCATTGCCTTCCTCCACTCGAAGCTCGCATTCTTCGTTTCATCTTGGCAAGCCGTGTCATCCTATCTGCCACCGTTCCGTGTTCACCTTGGAAGTTCAAGAGGGGCCAGCCAGTGCCATACGCCGTGACGATGCTGACCATGGGCTACTTCTTCCCACGAAAGGAAGCTGTAACGCGTACAGACATGTCCGTTACACCATGGGTTCGAGGTGAGCCGCGGGAATACCGTACCGCACAATTCCCCCAAATCCGCAATTCCCGCTGAACCAACCACCCCTGCTTGCAGCCAGTTATTCACCTAATCAGGCAGTCTCTCACACTATATTTCTTAGTTTAGCCGTATCATAGCGCTAGCATCGTTCAGCCAGCGAATTGCTGGCGACTTTCGCCTAATTATGCTCCTTGATTCGTGTGCACCCATATTCGTCGTTCATCAGGAGAAACTCGTTGTAGCGGAATCCACCGGACGGTTTTGTTTTTCCTGATGACGCTCGGCTCGCAATTGTCGGCTAGTTTGACGGAGTAAATGCCGCTACACCGAGCCACGCTAAACCTTTCTGAAATTCCGTGGATACATGCTTTGGAAATTGAGCAGATTCTCACCTAATGGCGGCACGCGACGCCGAGCAAGCACAGTCACTGTCAACGGATCCCCGGTTCACGATTGGCGACGACGCTGAGACTCACGACGACGACGTCAGCGACGTCGCACACGAAGTGGTCGTCGTAACGAACGGATTCCGATCCGGCGACTTGTCCTGGCAGCAGCAGGCGAAATCGTCGTCGTCGCCAGTTACCACCACCCTTATTCGCCCAGGCAAGCTGGAATCCCAAGACAACTCCGACGCTAATAACGAATTCGACAATAGGGAGGATGGCTCCGAGGATCGGGAGCCGATGCTCAAATCGCCGTCAGGAGCAGCATCCGGGAAGATTAAATCATTCAGCTTGGAACCGTCAGGGCATGGCAGCGGAGGCGGAGGAGGCGGAGGCCACCACGGCTTAGGCGGCGGCCATGGATTCGCGGGAGCTACAGTATCAAGCGGGATCTTTAATCTCTCCACGTCAATCATCGGAGCAGGCATCATGGGCCTACCGGCTACTCTCAACGTCCTCGGCCTGCCGCTCGGGGTACTGCTGCTTGTAGCGATGGGGCTTCTAACGGAGCTGTCGATCGAGGTGCTGGTGAACGCGTCGGCGGTGCGGCGAATCTGGACGTACAGCGGGCTCGTGGTGGAGGACTGCGGGCAGCGCTCGCGCCTGGTGCTGGACCTGGCGGTGCTGGTGAACAACGTGGGCATGTGCACCGTGTACCTGATTATAGTCGGTGAGCCCGTATTCTTGTGGTTTTGGTTTGGGGGGGGAGAGAGCAGGATGGGTGGACTGGGAAGGTGGTTTCTTAGCCGGCGTACGAGTTACCCCTGCCTCGTGCTGGTCCTGGCGGTGCTGGTGAACAACGTGGGCATGTGCACCGTGTTCCTCATCATCGTCGGTGAGTGGTCGGTATTCCGTGGCTGGGGGAGAGGGGGGAGGGAAGGAGGGGGGGGGGGAGGGAGGATGCGGATGGGGGAAAGTGTAGAGATTACCCTTGAGTGGACTCGAATATCACCACCCCTGGTGCTGGATCTGGCGTGCTGGTGAGGTGAACAACGCGGTCATATGCACAGTGCAGTGTGTACGTCGGTGAGCTGGTACCCCTTCGCTATGGGGAGGGGGGAAGGGGAGCAGAGGAGGGAAGAAGGGGTGGAGAAGAAGGGGGGGGGGAAGAGAGTGGCGAGGTAGTTTTTGACCCGGATCAATAGTCACCTCTGGCTGGTGCTGGATCTGGCCGTACTGGTGAACAAACAACGTGGGCATGTGGTGCACCGAGTGCCTCATTATTGCTGGTGGTCTGGCATGTCGGTGTGCCATGGCTGCGAATTGGGCAAATGAAAGGGGCGGAAAGGGATGGTGGTGAGGGCTGGGGGTATTAAGGGTGGGTGGGTGGTAAGCCTGGGCGAAACAGTATGGGTCTGCTGGTGTGGGGCAACAGATCGGTTTTCTAGACCTGTTATTCAGAGAGGAAAGATTTTGATTGGATTGATCTCTTCGTCTTAGATATCTCCCCTTCCTCTCTACTCCCCTTCTTGAACACGGTATTTCACAGTTAACCGCACCGAACGCATGATCCGCCTAGCATGGAGAATTTTTGTTTCTATCAACTCAAACAGACACGACGCATCCACCCATACCATAGCATCAGCATTCATCCGTGCTTCTCGAATCTCGATCCTCTGCGCACTTTCCCCTCATCATCCCCCTCATCCCCCTACTTTCCAGCCGATGTCGTTGCTGCAGGTACAGGCTACAGCACTGGAGCAGCACGGGGGAAACCCCCCCACCCCCCCCCCTTCAGAGGAGAGGATGATGCAGGCACAGCAGTGGGTGGCCGTGCTTTCATCAAACCCCAGACCTGCTTCTCCATCTCCACCTCTTCCCCGCTCCCCCCCTCTTCTTCTTCAGCCGGTGCTGTCTGTGGTCGGCATGTCGTCATCGCAGCACATGAAATCATCCCCAGTGGACGCCACGTGAGGGGCGTCGCGGACCACCCCATTTATCAGACCCCAAACCAGCTTTCAATCACCCCTCTTCCCCCCCAGTCCCTCACCTCCCCCCGACACTCCCCCCCCCTCTCCCCCCCAGGAGGCATCTCTGCACAAGGGGCTGCTGGCCTGCTTCCCGTCCCAGTCCTCTCCTCTCCCTTCTCCCCCTCGTCTCACTGTCCCCCCTCAGCCGACGTCGTGGCGGGCACATCATGGCAGCACGCTACATCATCCCCAGTGGAGGCCATGCGGGAGGCATCACTGCACGAGGGGCTGCTGGCGGAGTGGGGGCTGGTGGCGGGCGCGTGGTGGCCCATGCGCCCCATTGTCATCATCTCCACGATGCTGCTCGTGCTCGCTCCGCTCGTGTCGCTCAAACACGTCGGTGAGTCGCATAGCTGGCTTGCTGTGAGGCGCCTGAGAAGCTGCCATTGGCGCCCAAAAACCATGGTGGGCACTGGCACTGGCAGTTTTCCTCTACCCTCAAGCGGGTTGGTTGGTGCTGCAGACATTGAACTGGCGGGAGGGTGTGGAGGAGGAGGAAGGAACCAGGGGGGAAGAGGGGGGTGATGGGGAGAGGCGGTTAGGAAAGCTGGGTGACCTGGCTTTCAAGAAGGGCAATATCCTCTCCTCCCACACCCACTTGATGTGGTGTCAATCACGGAAGGCTGGATGGATGGCTCATCTTGCTCCTTGTTCTCCATGCCTCAACCTCCCATCTCCCATGCTTCCCTCTTTACTGGGTCCATCCGCCCGGCATGCCACCCATCAGCAATGGCCCCTCCCCCCCCTCCCCCCCTTTCTCCTCCCAACAACCTCCCTCCTCCCTCTTCTCCCCCCCCCCCCCCTTTCACCCCCCAACCCCAGACTCCCTGCACTACACGTCAGCGCTCTCCATCCTGCTGGCCGTGGTCTTTGTGGTCATCACAGTGGCTGTCGCTGCCGCACAGTGGGTGCAGGGGCGCATCCAGCTGCCGCGCATGCTGCCTGCCTGCTCCTCGCTCAAAGACCTCACTGGACTCTTCTCAGTCATCCCGGTGTGTGCTTGTGGTTGGGTGGGTGGGTGGGTGGGACATGCGAGGGTATGCAGTGGAGAGATGGGTGGATTGACATGGCCGGGTGAAGAGGATGGAAGGGTGTAGTGTAGACATGGGCACAGATGGATGGGTGAGAAGTCTTGCTCCTCGCTCAAAGATCCCTCTAAGCTCCTATGAGTCATCCCGGTGTGTGCAGGAGCAGCAGCATGGTGGCGTGATGGGCCTGGTTGGGGCTCGGTGTGGGCATGGTGTGGGCGCTGTGTGCACATGGTGATGGCATGGTGATGGCATGGTCATGGCATGGTGATGGCATGGTGATGGCGCGGTGATGGCATGGTGATGGCATGGTGATGGCATGGTGATGGCATGGTGATGGCATGGTGATGGCATGGTGATGGCGCGCTGATGGCATGGTGATGGCATGGTGATGGCATGGTGATGGCATGGTGATGGCATGGTGATGGCACGGTGATGGCATGGTGATGGCATGGTGATGGCATGGTGTGGGCAGTTGTGAACTTTGGGGTCAAACTGGGGTATGAGAAGGAGACTAGAGGAGGGAGGGGTGGACATGGATGGTTGACCAAGTGTGTGTGTGGATGTATGATCATGGTCACGAGGTCTGCATGGTGTGGCAAGTGCGTGCGTGGGTCGTTAGTCAGGAACGTGGTGCATGTAGTTGGTACTTGGATAGTGTCACTCCAAGTCACAGTTCCTTGCCTCCCCTCCCGTCCGCAACCCCCTGACCCTCCTTCCTTCGTCCTCCCCCCTCCACTTTCCCTTCTACGGTCTTTTTTCTCCATTCTTTTTTCTCACTACTATGATCTATTCGTTTCCTCACCAGTCCCTATGTGCGTGCCTCCTGCTTCTCGTGCAGGTGATGGCGACAGCATACGCGTGCCATTACAACGGTAAGCAAGCCTCTGGAGCTTCATCAACACCCCATCCATTACATCCTGCCATTGTAGCATCAAAGGCAGGACAAGATCGCCATAGTTTCAAGTCGTATCCTCTGCTCTGCATCCTTCCCGTTCTGTCCTAATTGGACCCACCCACTCACTGTTTCTCTCTGTTTAAACACTTGCTATGAGTTCACCTTAACCCTACCCTAAACCCCAAACCCTGCTTTTTAGAAGAGGGGTTGCCCGGGACTGAGAACCCGGGACCTCTCTCTCAATCTCTCTCTCCCCCCCCCCTCCCCCCCGGTCCTCACCAACCCCCTGCAGTGCACTCCTTCCTCGTGGATCCCAAGGAGCGCACATACAGCAGCCACGATGCTCCGAGTAACGCGCTCCTCGCTCCCTTTCTCTCACCCACCCCTCTCTCCCCGTTTCTCTCATCCCCCCCCTGCAGTGCACTCCATTTTCGTGGAGCTCAAGGAGCGCACAGCAGCCACGATGCTCCGAGTAACGCGCTCCTCGCTCCTCCTCTGCACCACGGTCTATGTGCTCACCTCCGTGTCCGCCTTCCTCCTCTTCGGCTCCAGCACCGCCTCCGATGTCCTCATCAACTTCGACCGGGACCTCGGCCTGCCCCTCTCCTCCCTCATCAACGACACCGTCCGCGTCACCTACGTCCTCCATATAGTGTTTGTCTTCCCGGTTATCTTCTACTCGCTGAGAATAATCGCGGACGATTTGATTTTTCCCGGGGCCGAGAAGCCACTGTTGGAGGATGATAGGCGGTTTGCGGTGGTGACGGTGGGCGGCATGGTGCTGGTGGGCGTGGGCGCGGTGATGGTGCCAAATATCGGCCTCGCATTTGACATCACGGGGGCCACGGCTACCATGCTGCTCGCCTTTGTCTTCCCTGCACTGCTCACTCTCAAGTATGGCCATTCCCATCATCTTATCATCACCATGCCATCACCATGCTCGGCCCCTGGCATGCTGCTATCATATCGTGCTCCTGCTTGAACCTTCCATGGCACAGCTGCCAAACCCTCATCCGTGTGGCTGGCTCCATCCATGTGCTGCTTTGCACTGACTCACACATCCTCACCCCCCCCATTCATCCACCCCTATCTCCATGCTCTCTCCTCATCCATCCCTGCAGGGACCGTCTGGGGCTGTTTGCATCGTGGCACAGGGCAGTGGCGCATTTCCTTCTCGTCTTCGCTGCCATTGTCAGCGTCACTGGCCTCTCCAGTGGCCTGTACCATGCCTTCGTTTCTTCTGCTGAGTGAAAGCATCGAGTGGTTGCTTGCTCCCCCTCAGCTGCTTGCAAGAGCAGCACTTCTCAGTCGCTGGGCAGTGTTTTCCAACCTGGGAGTCGGATATTTTTTTTTTGTTTTATGGCTTTGATTTGACATCAGCCCCCCAGCTGAAGGTGCTGCTGCAAGGCTGCAACCTTGTATGCTATTGACAAGCGGCCAATTCTCGTTCATTCTTTCTTCTCTAGAGCCCCATTTTCACAAGAATGTGTCGGTTCTGTGTCCATGCTTACGGTATGCCATTGCGAAGTGAAATCATTCCCCAATGTTTGCATTTGATTCTATACTTTTCTTGAAATCCCCACCTTGAAGTGTACTATAAGTGAAAGGTCCAGCCTTGAGCTTACGTGTCATCACACCGAAACACCTCAGCTCCTGCTTCCTCTGAATATCCCGCCAAATTTTAGCCAATCAGAATCTCCAGATTTGGTGGCCAGTGCATCCCTAAAGTCAAAACTTACCCAGGCCACCCAAAATCCGCGAATAGAGAGAGTCCGGGGTAGGGCAGTGTGTTTCTCATGTGTGATGTGTCAAAATCGCAACCCTCTGTGCACGATCTCGGGCAGACTCCTCTGAATGTTTCAGCCACTGTGGGTTCAGGTGCATTTCCCCCCTTCATTCCAGCTCACACCTTCGTCATGACAGGCGTGGCAAGGGGACTGCTGCCCACATGACCAAATTCAGGCAGATTGGAATGATCGGAGCGCTTACTTAGGAGGGTAATTTATCGCTAGGGTGTGTCTCCCTAACATAGGTTTTGTAAATGACCCTACCCAACCGCACAAGAGAGTCATCTAATTCTGTTTATCACGAAGCACCCCATTAGACCGAAATCACACGTACATCATGGACACACCTCGAGGGCTGATTCGGAATTGCCTGTTGTTCGAGTGAGATATGGCCAATCACAGCCCCCCCAAGCCTCAATCCCAAACCTCAAACCCACACCTCGCCTGTGTTCTGGGAAGCCCTGCCCAGCCTGGTTCTATCTCAGAAGAACGAGCTTGAGACTTGGCCCTGCTAGCCTGGACTGCAACTTTGGTTCCTGCAACCCGAATGGCTCTCTCCCACACCATCCCATCCCCCACCCACATCCCATCACAGCAGCTACTCCACTCCCACCACCCACTTCTCGCCTCGCCAATCAGTTTTAACTCACGTCTCGCTTTTCATCTCTGCCGTCCGTTCGCCGCCCCATACGAGCCAGCCATGGCGGCAGCTCGCCACACGTCGCTAGTCGCCGCGGCAGGCGCCCTTGCAAGTCCGCGGCTGTCGACCTCGTCAGCCGTCTCCCGCCTCTCCTCCGCGCACGCCTCGTCCTCCTCCCTCGCTGCCCCGCTTTCCGCTCCTCTCCGCCTCCCCGCCCCGCGTCATGCCCCCGTCGCCGCCACCGCCGCCATTCCCTTATCCCGCCGAGTCGCTTTCCCTGCCGCCACGTCAGTGAGAGGATCGCCGCCGTGCGCGCGACGCTGCCTGATAGTGGCGGTGCGATCGGCGGAAGGGGATGCCGCGCGGGACGTAGCGACAGCTGCGGAATTGGTCCCCGCGGAACGACAACCGGCGGAAGCATCAGCTGCGGAAGCGCGAGCAGCGGAAGCTCCAGCAGAGGGAGCAGCCACGGGCGCAGCCACGGGCGCCGCAGCCGCGGGAGCGGAAGCGGGGGCAGCGGCTGACGCTGTTTCGAGTGCGGATTCGTCGGTTGTTGCCGCCGCTGGGTCGGAGGAGGCGGTAGAGAAATGGAATTGGTCGACGTCGTGGGAGCCCAAGGTACTGCGCGCAATGCGCCCGCCATGTGTGTTTTCAGTCGACTCAAAACGTACCGCGCGCAATGCGCCCTCCAGATCTAGCGCTGGGACTGTATTAACGTCGACTTAGTCAGGTGAACCGTCGTGAACCGTGGTGGGGTCGGAGGCGGTAGAGAAATGGAATCCGTCTGCGTCCTGGGAGGCCAAGACCCTGCGTGCGTTGCGTTTGTAGAACAAACGGATCCAGGCGGGGTGGTGGAATGACGTCAGGCCTGTGACGGTGGAACGATGGCATTAGAAAACGCAAACGCGATTCGTGAGGTCAAGGAGCGCGCTGCCTCCCACCCCAGGGTCGGTCTGTCGTTAGCCCATTAGCCCACACCGCGGAACGGGAGCCACGTGCTAGGATGGACCCATCCGCCACCTGCTCAGGGCTCGTTGTAAGGAGTCTATTTTTTAGGCGCCTCAAAAATAGACTCCTCTCGTTGTAAGGAGGTGACTTTTGAGTCGTCGACTCATAAGTCCGGCGTTAGCGCACACGGCGGAACGGAAGCCGCGTGCTTGGATGGATCCATCCATCCGCCACCTGCTCAGGCTCGCTCAGCAACCGCCCGTCCACGTGCTACCGACTCGACACAGCAGCAGCTTCTAAAGAAAGGGTTCGACGATGCTTAGAAGATGCCGTTAGAGTGCCACCCCAGCTAAGGTGCTGCTGTTATGGCGTTGAGATGAGCCGTTTCTCCTTGCTTCTCGTCCTTACCGCCCCTGCTGCCGCCCGTGCCGCCCTCCTCAACCCTTCCCAGTCACGCCCGTGCTGCGCATCCGGTATCCCCAATCCTTGTTCTCCTGCTCTCCACTCCCCCTCCCCCTTACCGCTCCCCCCCTCCCCCCCCCCCAAACCAGGCGGCGCTGGGCGTGCTGCTGCTGTCGGTGCCTGTGGTGCCCGTGCTGCCGCGCTGCCAGTGGTCCGCGCCGCTCTACTTTGGGCTGCTCGCGCTCTGGGCCGTCTACGTGGGCAGCCACCGGAGGTGAGGGGGGCATGGGAGGGAGGAGAGGGGGGCATGGGAGGGAGGAGAGGGGGGCATGGGAGGAGAGGGGGGCATGGGAGGAGAGGGGGGGGATATCCTTTTTATTCCCCCTTCTCCCTCTCCCCCGCTACGCTACCAGTCGCATTCACCCTACATTCAGGCCGTGAGCATGCACCAGGCCTTTAAACGGCCAATATTCTATGCAAGCGCCCTCTCTCGCGTTGTCAGGCTTTTGGATACATGTTTCCCCAGTCATCCCTGTGTAATGAGTCGACTTTTGAGTCGACTCAAAAATCGACTCATTACTTTTGGATACATGTTTCCCCACCCCATTCATCCCCCCCTCCCGTGGCCCCCCTCTCGCCCCTCCCTCTCCCCTCCTATCTCCCTCTCCCCACTTCGTCGTCCCCCTACACCTGGCCCCTCCTGCCCCTCCCCCCCAGTCTCACCCGCCCCCCAGTGCAAGCAGTGAGCATGCAGCAGGGCATAGCGGTGCCCATCCTCTGCTCCTGCACGCTCTTCGGCCTCTACTGCCTCCTGCGCTTCGCCCCAGACCTCGACCTGCGCCTGCTCTTCTCCTCCTACCTCACGCTCGTGGGGGGCGTGGCCGTGGCCAGCCACCTCGCTGACCCGCTCAAAGCAGCGCTGCCGAAAGAGATCAACGACAGGCTCTCGGTGTCTGTGGGTGCGTGCTGCTGGGGTTTGGGGGGGGGGGGGGGAGTAGGATGGGCTTGCCTCGGTTGTGTTTGAGTGCAGTCTGCGTTGTTCTCCCTCCTTCCTTACTTCCCGCCTTTCGCTCGTGGGTGGGGAGGAGAGGAGAGGGGGTTGCTGTGCCCACCCTCCTCCGCTTGGCCCCGGACCTCGACCTGCGTCTGCTCTTCTCCTCCTATCTCGCGCTCGTCGGGGGCGTGGTCGTGGCCAGCCACCTTGCTGACCCGCTCAAGGCTGCGCTCCCCAAGGAGCTCAATGACATGCTGTCCGTGTCCGTTGGTGCATTCTGTTTGGGGGGGAGGGAGGGGGGGGGGAGGGAGGAAGGTAGGATGGGCTTGCCTGGGCTGTGGCTGGGTGCTGTGTGTTGTTAGTCCTCCGTCCTTACTTCCCACCTTTCCCTCAAGGCTGCATTCCCCGAGGAGCTCAATGACAGGCTGTCGATGTCCGTCGGTGCGTGCTGCATGTCTCTGTCTCTGCATGCTGTTCCGTTGCTTCTTTCCTTCTTTCATTCCTCCTACCTCTCCTACCTCACGCTCGTGGGGAGGGAGGGAGGGGAGGGGGGGGGGGTGGCCAGCCACCTCGCTGACCCGCTCAAAGCTGCGCTGCCCAAAGAGCTCAACAGGATGGGCAGTAGGATGGGCTTGTTTGTACTCCGTGCTTGGGTGCTGTGTTTTCCTTTTTATTCTTTTTTTTTGCCACCCCCTCACTCCCCTACTCCCTCGCTCCCTCACTCTCCGTCTGCGCCCTCCTCCCCTCTCCCTCCCGTGCTTTCTCCCTCTCACATACCTCCACCCCACCATCCATCCCTCCCCGGTTTTTCCTCCCTCCATTCCACTTTCACATTCCCCCCACGTTACTCTCCCCTCCCCCTCTCCCCCCCACCAACCACCCCCCACCTCCCCATCCCCCCTCCCTCCCCGTGACCCCCAATATCCAGACATCCCCTCGTGGCTACTAGAGAGCTCCCCCCCCTCCTCCTCCTCCTCCTCCTCCACTTCCCCATCCCCGTCCGCCGTGGCACCAGCAGCCCTCACTCTCTCCGCTACTGACGTGCTGTCCGCTGCCTGTGAGTGACCCAGGGGGAGCTCTGAAGGGGGGAGGGCGGAGGGAGAGGGGGGGAGAGGGGGGGGGGGGGGGGGGGGGGTAGGTGGTGTACCGTGTAGGTATGGGGAGGAAATGGACGGAATAGGTTGGGATGGGATATGGGATGGGATGGGATGGGATGGGATATGGGATGGGATGGGATATGGGATGGGATGGGTTATGGGATGGGATGGGATATGGGATGGGATATGGGATGGGATATGGGATGGGATATGGGATGGGATATGGGATGGGATATGGGATGGGATGGGATATGGGATGGGATGGGATGGGATATGGGATGGGACGGGATGGTATGGCGCGGATGATGTGAGATGTCTGTTCCGTACTGCGAATTCAACTTCTTGTTGTGCCCTCTCTTCCCCCCCCCCCTATTGCCTCCCACGACCTTCCTCCTCCTCTCTTCCTCCTCCTCCCCACTTTATCCACCTCACTCCACCCCTCCTACTTGTCCACCTTTCATCCTCTCGGTTCTTCCACTATCCCCTCCCCTATCCCCTCCCCTATCCTCTCCCCTATCCTCTCCCCTATCCCCTCCCCTATCCTCTCCCCTATCCTCTCCCCTATCCCCTCCCCTATCCCCTCCCCTATCCTCTCCCCTATCCCCTCCCCTACCCCCCCCCCCCCCCTATTTCCTCTGCGGTGAGCACGGCAGTGGCGTCCATGCAGCCCTCAGCGTGGCATTGACGGACCTGTACAACCTCCCCTCCCGGATATTTACCCGACGTAGTCCCTCCGCTTCTCCCTATAACCCGCCAGTGGGCATGGCGGTGGCAGTGGCGTCCATGCAGCCCTCGGCGCCCTTCTCCCTGGGCAACATAGTGGCCGTCTGCATCGTGTCCGAGGTGCTGCAGATGCTCTCGCTCAGAAGGTGGGCTTTGATTGGTATAGGGTGGCGTGGGGTGGTGTGGTGTGGTGTGGTGTGGTGTGGGGTGGTGTGGTGTGGTGTGGGGTGGTGTGGTGTGGTGTGGTGTGGTGTGGGGTGGTGTGGTGTGTGCTGAATGGGGAAGTTCAGAGAATGGGTCGCCACAGTGTCATGACCATTGGTGAATGCTCCAAGCTCATCCTCCCCAATCACCAACCTCACCCTCTCTTCCCCCCACTTGATCTCCCCGTGCCCCTCAGCTTCGCGGTGGCGTCAGCAGTGCTGCTGGGCCTGCTTATGTACGATGTCTTCTGGGTCTTTGGCTCCTCGCCCATATTCGGAGACAACGTCATGGTCACGGTATGCAAGAGCTAGCATGCGAGTTCAATGCTTTCCAATGTATTGTTCCGTTTCTTGGGATCGAAGGCCTCATGCGCCCTTGACTTTGGCTCCTCGCCCATATTCGGAGACAATGTCATGGTCACGGTATGCAAAATACTCCCAAAAGACATGAAGGTCATACTCCCCATGGTACGGCGTGGCCACCGTATGCCAAAAGCTTGGATCGTGAAGGTCATATTCGCCTGTTCTGTTGCTCTGGCTCTCACGCTCTCCTGCACTGCACCCCCCAAGCTGCTGCTGCTTCCCATCCCCTTCAACGTTTTCTCGACAAGGACGGCTTTTAGGCTCTCACCCCATGGTTTTGGCATATTCTGAGAATTCTCAAAATACGGCTTCAACAAAATGCCAGCTTCTAGGCTCTCGCTCACCCCGGTCGTTCACGCTCATGCGTGCGTATCCAAACAAAAACCGCTACACACACCCACCCATGCCCATGCCCATGGCTTGCACCATTCAGGCGAAGCCATCCCCTTACTCCTTTCCATAAGTTTGTGTTGCCCCCCTAAGCGCCTCTCAACCTGAACCCCCCCCCCCCCACCATCACCCGTGCGTTGTCCCACCCAGGTGGCCACATCGGATGCTCTAGTGGGCCCCATGAAGCTCGTCTTCCCCCGCTGGACGGTAAGTGCACTGCATGCCTCTTGGCCTTTTGCCCTCTTGCACCTTTTGCCCCCTTGATCACATGGATGCTCGGGTGGTGTCAGTCCTTGTGCCATGCCATTCCCTGCCATGCCATGCCATGCCATGCCTTTCCCTGCCATGCCATGCCAGACCATGCCATGCCATGCCATGCCAGGCCATGCCACGCCATGCGTTACCTTAGCACAGTCTCGTTGATGTTCTTTCTTTTCTGAGGACTCTTCTTGCACTCGCCCACCCTCTCCCATCTCCCCCTCTCCCTCCCTCCCTCCCTGCCTCCCTCCCTCCCTCCCTCCCCCCTTCAGGTGGACGCAGCAGCCCCCTACTCCATTCTGGGCCTGGGAGACGTCGCGGCGCCAGGCCTTCTCATGGCGCTCATGCTCCGATTTGACTCGCACCGCTCCTCCTCCTCTGCTGCTGCTGCCACTGCTGCTGAAGATGGTACCGCAGATGCAGCAGCAATGGGGGAGAGCAGCAGCAGCAGCAGCAGCAGCAGCGGGGAGGCGCAGGGCGGGCAGCGGGGGCTGGTGGTGGCGGTGCCGGATGGTGCGCGGCTGGAGGACAAGACCTACTTCCTCGTGTCCGTCGCCTCGTACCTCGCTGGGCTCGCCATCACCATAGGTGCGCCCTCATGGGGAGGCTGCTGCCTGGGAAGGCTGCTGCCTGGGGAGGCTGCTACCTGGGGAGGCTGCAGCCTGGGAAGGCTGCGTTTGTTGGCTTGGAGGGGGGGAATGAGGAGAATGGGAAGCTGAGGGTGCAGGGGAATGTGAGGGAGGATGGAGAAGGGGGGGAGAGGGAGTAGTAGGGGTTGGTCGAGGGATGGGAGGGGAAGAGGGAATAAGGAGAGTAGGGAAGGAGAGAACGAGTCCTCGAGAAGAGGTCCCAAGTCACCTGCTTTCATAGACTTCGTGTTTTCCAAAGTGCAATAGTCTGTCCCTTCATGGGTTCACATTCCCCACATGTCTAACCCCCTCCCACACACACACTCTCACAGCTCCTCCTTACCTGACATTCCACTACTCCTTTCGCACCCCCCTCTCCCCTTGCCTCCGTTCCCCCCTCCCTCCGTTCCTCTTGTGGCTACAAGAGTGAGCACAGTGTCAGCAGCAGCGCAGCCAGCCCTGCTGTACATAGTGCCTGCTCCCCGTACAGTCCCCCTCTCCCATCTCCCCCCTCTCCCCGTCCTCCCTTTCCCCCCATTTCTTCCTCCCCCAATCCCCCATCACCCGTGGAGCGAGCAACACTGTGACGGGAGCAGCACAGTCACCCCAAGCTGCTGCACCTCGTGCCGCCTCTCCCACACACTCTCGTTCCCAACCCCCCCAACTTGCTACCCCTCATTCAAACCCCCACCCTTCCCCTCCCCTCACCCCCACCTCCCTCGCTCCACCCCCCAGGAGTGAACACAGTGATGGGGGCAGCGCAGCCAGCGCTGCAGTACCTGGTGCCATCCTCACATCAGAATTCCTCCTTCTCCCTTCCCTCCGCTCCTCCGTTTCTTCCCTCACAGGAGTGAACACGGTGACGGGAGCAGCTCAGCCAGCGCTGCTGTACCTGGTGCCGTCGCTGCTGCTGGGGGTGTCGGCTGCTGCAGCATCCAGGAGCGAGCTTGATGTGCTGCTGCGCTTTGATGACACTGCAGGGGGGGCAGGTGGGGAGGGCATGGAGGGGGGGAGGGGGGGATTGCTGTTCAAGCCCGTGCCGGTGCAAAGGGAGAGTGACAGATCAAGGGAGTGATCTGCACTTGCAGCAGGTTATGTAAAGGATCGTGGTAGATGCAAGTTCAAAATTTTTAATGTATTAAGGTGCTTCTCCATTGTTCTAACAAGCTGCCAAACTTCTCTTGGCACTTTGTGCATACATGCAAGGACTCTTGTGTCACTCTAAAGAAGTTCATCTACCACAATGAATGACCTTGCAATGATGCCATGACTTATTTAGAAAACGTACTTTCAAGGCGGAAAGCACTTTTCACAATTACGGAATCCTGCTTTTGAAAGTTACAAGAACGCTTTCTTCATTGTGAACAAGTGTTGCCGTGTTGTGATCTAAGCACACATAGCATCTTCCAAATTTAGCACCGTATCGAAGCAGTGTACTATCTGAACAAATTCCCACCGACCTAACCACCACCTAGGCTTGAATAGCCCAACAACATCGAGCCTCCAGAATTCCGTCACCTAGGGTACACCGCTCTGAAACGTTCCGAAACGTATAGCACCATTCTGTCACGCTCAATGATGTCCTCCCAAACCAACCCCGCCCACCCAACACAATCTCCTTGCTGGTCCTCCTCTCGTCGTCACAATCAAGAGGAGCGAGCCGCCCTGCTTTCAAAGCAGCTCCAGCCTCCAACCTCCAGCATTCCAAGCTCCAGGCTCCAGCTCATCCCGCGCATGTCCTTCGTCATCGCGATTCCCGAATCTTCCCGTCCCGACTCCCCTTTCAACCTACCCTGGCGAATCCCGATGAGAACAAAACCACGAGGGCGGTCAGCCGCCGCCGCTCCATCCGCCTCCGCTGCCTAGTGCCCACTGTGCTCCGTACCTCATCTCCTACTCCTCATAGTGCACGCCGTACTGTACCCAGCATTCATTCCCCGTATTCGCCGCATTCCCCGTCCTCGCCACAGTTATGCTAGCATGAAGCTGGCAGCCTATAAGGTCGGCAGCCTATAACGCCAGCAGCCGATAAGGGCTGTAACCTAAAACGCCAGCAGCCGATAAGGGCTGTAGCCTATAACGCCAGCAGCCTATAAGGGCTGTAGCCTGTAAGGCCAGCAGCCAGCAATGCCGACGACGCACTTTCCCCCACCGCGCCTCCGGGCCGCTCGCAGTCGCCTCGCGTTCCTCCCGCTCGTCGTACTTAATCTACTCTTTGCGACCCGATGCGGCGACGCTGTAGCATCAGCAGAAGCAGGAGTAGGACGGACAAGAGCGACATCAGAAACAGTTCGAGTAGCAGCGGCTGCGCGTGCAGCGGGATACGAGGCGACTGCGACGACGGCGACGGCGACGGCGACGACGACGACGACGACGACGACGACGACGACGCCCAACACTAGTCTCGTGCTTCTGCCCGACAACCCCTACAGCGCTAAATGCCTCGACGGCAGGTGAAATTTGAAGACATGCCACGTGGATCGCTATATCCAGCTCCCCGTGCGCGGAATCCCGCCCATGCCCCGCGCCTTGGCGCCCCCGCAACTCCACTCCTCCCCCCTCCCCCTCCCTCTTCCACCCCCGTTTTCCCTGGAACAAGCAGGCCGCTCCCCCAACCCAGCTTCTCAATTTCCTCCCTCTCCCGTCTCCCGTCTCCCCGCCCTTACCCTCAACGTCTCCTCTCCCTTCACCGCTCTTCTCACCTCACCACGCGCTCCCCTCCCCCCGCCTTCCCCCTTCCCCCAATCCCCCTCCCCCTCCCCCCCCCTCTTCCCCCCCCTTCATCTCCCGCCTGCCCCCTCCCCTGGCAGTCCCCCCGGGTACTACTTCCGCGCGGGCACGGGCGAGGGGCAGCGCAAGTGGCACGTGTTCCTGGCGGGGGGCGGGTGGTGCCTGACTGGTGCGGACTGCCAAGCGCGCAGCAAGACGTACCTGGGGAGCACCAAGATGTATCCTAGTGATCCTAGCAACTACTCTGATGTGAGTGTGAGTGATTGAGGGTGAGGTGTGTGAGTGTGGGGGTGTGAGAGAGCGAGTGTAAGGGCGAGTGTGAGTGTGGGGGTGTGAGAGAGTGAGTGTAGGGGTGAGTGCGAGTGTAAGGATGTGTTTGGTTGGATAGCGCGTGACCGGCACGGAGTGCCAGGCGCTCAGCACAACATACCCTTGGTTCGAAGGTCTTGCAAAGCACATCTCAAGACTCCTCTGTCTCCGCGCCCACCCTCCCCCCTCCCCCTCTCCCCCCGGTTTCGCATGGATGAAGCGGGGCTTTGACGCCTTTCCGAGTGCCAACACCAGCAATGCCACCTCTGTCTCCCCACCCCCCTCCCGCCTCCCCCCTTCCCCTTCCCCTTCCTCCCTTCCCCATTCCCCCCCTCCCCCTTCCTCCCTCCCCCTCCCCCCTCCCCCCAGGTTACATGGATGAAACCCGGGTACGATGCCATTCTAAGCACCAGTCCCGCTGCCAACCCCACAGGGCACAACTGGAACCTGGTGCGCCTCATCTACTGCGACGGGGGCGGGTACGCGGGGACCAAGGGGCGCGTGAAGCTGAGTGCTGGCACGAGCATCTACCTGGATGGGTGGAACATCTTCAGAGCCGTGGTGCAAGGTGGGCATGGGACCGTGCCTCTTTCCCACACGACCTACCCCCTGTCACGCGTTTCTTGAGATGCTTCGAACGGACGCGGAGATTGAGGGGAGGGCAGAGCAGAGCATCCACCCACCTTGATGAGACGATTTTGAGGCGCGACGTGCCTGGCGCCTGGCGCCTGGCGCCTCAAGTTTTGGAGCCCGTGGTGAGGAAGTAGGCGTGCTGTGGCGCTAGGCGAGTGGGACTTCATTTTGCGCGGTGCTGCACGGTGCTGCATGGTGCCACTTGATCCTCCTCCCTGCGCCCCATCCCCCTCCCTCCCACGCCCTTCTTCCCCATCCCACACTTTCCGTTCCCTCCTCTCGTTACCCGTGCTCGCTCGCTACCACATGCGTTGGCGTTGCTGCTGAGGGCGCTGCTTGCATGCGTCACAGTGCGGATTTGAATCCCTGACATGTATCAAGACCAGGATTAAGGGCCCAGCACATCCTTCAATCCCTCTCACGCCTCCACCTCCCTCCCCCCCTTCCCCCCTCCCTCCTCCCTCCTCTCCCCTCCGTTTCCTTCCCATTCATCCCTCCATACCATACCATACCGGTCCCCACAGACCTCCGTCAGAATCGCTGCATGGAAGCTCCTTCCGATATTCTTCTCTCGGGCAGCTCGGCTGGCGGGCAGGCCGTCGTGAATCTCTGTGATTGGCTGGCGGCCAGCTTCCCAAACGCCACCACCCGATGTCTGGTCGACTCGGGCTTTTTCATGGGTGAGTAACTTCTGGTGGTAGGTACACGTGATGGTAGGTACACGTGATGGTAGGTACACGTGATGGTTGGTACACGTCATGGTAGGTACACGTCATGGTAGGTACACGTCATGGTAGGTACACGTCATGGTAGGTACACGTCATGGTAGGTACACGTCATGGTAGGTACACGTGATGGGACACATGCTACCGTACCGTCTCTTCAGGTGGCACGGCTGCTCATCTTGTAGTGATTGCTGTCCAATCTGTGGTACATGCCATCCCACCAGATGCCAAGGACCGCTTGGGCAAGCATGGGTTCAGATTAACGGCTCAGAGCATCACAGCGCTGCACCGACCACACAACCCCAATTGCACCTTTGGTACGAGGGCATCGTGGTGGCTGGTGCTGCTGCCTGCATTGTTGCTGCTGCTGTCTGCGTTGCTGCTGCTGCCTGCGTTGCTGCTGCTGCCTGCGTTGCTGCTGCTGCCTGCATTGTTGCTGCTGCCTGCATTGTTGCTGCTGCCTGCATTGTTGCTGCTGCCTGCATTGTTGCTGCTGCCTGCATTGCTGCTGCTGCCTGCATTGCTGCTGCTGCCTGTCTTGCTGCAGCTGCCTGTGTTGCCGCTGCCTGCTGCATTTCTACCTCGTTGCCCTGGTTTCTTCGCCACTGGAAGCATTCGTCCCATTCACAATAATTCACACCCATTTGCCGTGACTCCCTCCGCACTTGCCTCTCCCCATCGCTCCTTCCCTCACTCCCTCTCTGTGTGCCTCTCCCTGCATTCCCTCCTCTACCTTGCCGCTCACACAAGCAACCAACCAAACCCATCAGCACTAGAACTGCACACTCCAGCACATCACTCATCTTCAAGCCGTCTCACCCCCTGCTCCCCATCCCGTACCCTCCAGCAGCAAGCTCTGCCCAGCAGTGGAAGTGCTTCTTCCCACAGTACACTCTACGGTCAGTCGCCACCCCTGTCTTCATATTCCACACCCTCTTTGACTACATCGCTGCCATGCTGGGAAACCAGCTGCCCAGAGACAACACCACGTATGCTGCTAACTGCGTGCGGGAGGTCATCAACAACCAAAACGCATCCGCGTTTGAGTTTATCAGGCTCACAAAAGTGAGCATAGCAGCTGCGGGAACAGCAGCAGCTGTGGCGGGTGTTAGTTGCAAGGCTTCTGAGAAGGAGGCAGTGCTGGGAGTGGCTTCAGCTCTCCATAACCAGATAGTTGCAATTGTGAGCGATCGACCTTCGATTGGAGCTTACATTCCTACATCGTCTGTACATACTGCTGCTACGAATAGGTTCTGGACCACCCCATGGATCAATGGCACATCTGTCAGTGGCGCGTTTGAAAGTTGGTCAAGAAACCCACCTAAGGATGTTGCTGTGCTTCTACATGACTGACTAGTGAGTTCTTTTTTCCATGATCAGTTATTACCTTACAGCGAATGTCACGAACAGATACTTGCCCCAGCACAGGAGTTGGAGCAACAAGGCCCGTTCTTACTGGTTCCTGAATCGTAACCCAGGAGAGACCTAGCCACATGCCGCATAACACCACTCATTGTGCTGCCTACCATGCTGCAAATTCCTACCATCCTACGAAGTTGCATCAGAATCAATAATGTTGTCATAATTATATAAGTCATAATTTTATATAGGCTTGGTAGGTTGCTACTGAACCTTTCTGTAGGGGGTACAAACCCCTCCTTGTACTCCCTTCTCTTCCTAATCCAACACTCTTTCTTCTCGACTTTCCTCCTACTCCTAGATCCGTTTTTCCTAGCGCCGTTCCATGGCGGCCTTGCTCCTATCCTAGCTAAGCTAGTGTCCTAACTTTAGGGACCTAGCATCCTAAGTTCTTGACATGGTATCAGAGCAGGAGATCCTTCCTGCTGGACTGCCTCCTCTCGCTTCCGCCATTTACTCCTCACCCTCATTCACTCCAGCGGCCATGGCGGCCGCGTTTTGCTGCAGTGGCGACGTCGCGCTGCCACTGGGCGCGTCGTGCCGCGACCGGCCTGACGCGCTGCCGCGGAGTCGGGCCGTCGTTCTGCAGTCGCAGCGTCGACGCCCCGCTGCGGCATCGACGCTGCCATGGCGGCCGCGGCGGCGTCACGCTGTGGCGTCGTCGTCTGTTCGCCGGCTGCGCCGTCCTGCCGCGGCCGTCTCGACACGCGACCGGGACGACGTCAGCGCGACGCCGCGGCTGCGCCCCTCCTGGGCCTCGTCGCGCCCTGCCTGGCCTCATCGCACCCGCTCAGCCCCGTCGCGCCCTGCCTGGCCCCGTCGCCCTCTGCCCGGCCCCGTCGCCCCCTGCCAGGACGCCGTCGTCCCGCCTGTAAGCGCCGCGCCATTTATGGCGCGACGCTGAAGACTCGCCCCGCCCCCCCCCCCCCCCCCCCCCCCCCATTCTCCCTTCCCCCTGCGTCTTCCCTTCCTCCTGTCGCAGCTGCTGTCTTCTGCCCGGACGTTGCCACATCGCCGAGAGCCCTCAGCCGCGGCAGTCGCCGCCTGTCGTCGGCGACCCAGCCGCCTTGAGCCAGAGCTCCGCGGCTGCTTGTCGCTGACCCGCCTAGACGCCGTCGGCTGCCTCGTGTACGGGGGTGTGTCAACGCTTTGCCTGAGGGTCAGATACCCGGCTAAGCACGAGCCTGAGGGTGTGCGGGGTTAGGGGGTGGGTTGGGTGCGGGTGTGGGGGTGTGAGTGGGCTTGACACTACCAAGCCTAGGGGGTGTGTTAAAATTATATAAGTCATAATTTTATATAGGCTTGGTAGGTTGCTACTGAACCTTTCTGTAGGGGGTACAAACCCCTCCTTGTACTCCCTTCTCTTCCTAATCCAACACTCTTTCTTCTCGACTTTCCTCCTACTCCTAGATCCGTTTTTCCTAGCGCCGTTCCATGGCGGCCTTGCTCCTATCCTAGCTAAGCTAGTGTCCTAACTTTAGGGACCTAGCATCCTAAGTTCTTGACAGATCCTGCCGTTTTACAACCAGCAGATCAACAAACCTGTAGAAAGCTCGCATCCGAGTGTTGCACACCAGGCCTGAAGGCGACGTGCGATCCGACATGTACATTGTACACCCCCAAAACAACGCCACGACTGCCCAGCAGGAGTGACGACGCAAAACCGCACAAACGTGTACCGTAAGTCACATTGACACAACACAACACAACATTGAGGGCGGATTCCTACGAAGTTGAATCTGTCAAATGTAACTTAGGTTGTTACTGTAGACTATACTGGATTGTGCCTTAGAGGGTACAACACCCTAGTCTATATATCCTTGTACACACACATTCTACTTCAATCATTTTCTTTCTGATATGGTATCATAGTAGGTTAGATCCCCCCCTAGCCCGCTCACGCTTCCGCCCCTACGTTCCTAGCCGCCCCCCTGGCCGTCGCGCTCGTCCCTAGCCGGCCCCCCTGGCCGTTCGCGCCCGTCCCTAGCCGGCCCCCTGGCCGTTCGCGCTCGTCCCTAGCCGCCCCCCTGGTCGTTCGCGCCTGCCCCTAGCCGGCCCCTGGCCGTCGCGCTCGTCCCTAGCCGCCCCCCTGGCCGTCGCGCCCGTCTCTAGCTGGCTCCCTGGCCGTCGCGCCCGCTCCTAGCCGGCCCGCTGACCGTCGCGATCGCTCCTAGCCGGCCCCCTGACCGTCGCACCCGTCCCTAGCCGACCCCTGACCGTTCGCGCCCGCCCCTAGCTGGCCCCCTAGCCGTCGGGCCCGTCTCTAGCTGGCCCCCTGGTCGTCGCACCCGCTCCTAGCCGGCCCCCTGCCCGTCGCGATCGCTCCTAGCCGGCCCTTGACCGTCGCGCTCGCCCCTAGCCGGCCCCCTGGCCGTCGCGATCGCTCCTAGCCGGCCCCCCTGACCGTCGCGCTCGCCCCTAGCCGCCCCCCTGGCCACTGAGCCCCTCCTAGCCGGCGCCCTGGCCGTTTCGCGCCCGCTCCTCGCAGGCCCCCTGGCCGTTTGAGCCCGCCCCTAGCCGTCGTGGCTGATTCTAGCCGCCGTCGCGGCCGCTTCCTGCCGTCCTTCGGCCGCCCCTCGCCGCCGTCGCGGCTGTCTCTGGCCGCCGTCGTGGCTGCCCCTGGCTGTCGTCGCGGCTGTCCCTGGCCGCCGTTGCGGCTGTCCCTGGCCGCCGTCGCGGCCGTGTCTACTTGCCGCCCGCCGGCCGGCCCCTGCATTTGCGTCGTCGCCGGCCCGTCGCTACCTCGGGTTCGGCCCGTTCTTCCCGATCAGCACCGCCCTCCGAACCTCCCCCCGGTACCGTACTGCATCGCTTTGTACCGCACTGCACCGCACTATACCGCACTGTACCGCCCTGCACCGCACTGTACCGCACTACACCGCACTGCACAGCACTGCACCGCACTGTCCATCTTGATGGTACCCTCCCCTGCCCTGACCCCCCTGCTGCCCTGTCTCCTGACCCCTCGTCCGCTGAGCGTGAGTCCGCTGCAGCCGCTGCCCTTGCTCGCTCTGTCTGGCTGTCCCGTGACGCTGTTGCACAGCTTGCTATTAGCAATGCCCTCCCCCTGTCTGAGCAACCTCGCTTCAGGTCTATCACCACTGCCCAGGCTTTCCTAGATGCTGTTGTCCAGCGCTATTCCACACCGCCTGCTGCCTCGGTCGGTCGTTTGATCCTCCCCATGCTCTTTCCTGACCTTGCGTCGTTCCCCACTGTCGCCGACCTGGCCGCTCACCTGCGCACCATAGACGAGACCTGGCGTGTTGCCTGCACTCCCACACAGCTTCTAGCCCACCAGCCGCCCCTCACCTCTACTCTCTACTTGCTAGCCACCCGCCTCCCTGACCGTCTTGCCACTGCCCGTGACCGCTTTCTTAGCGTCCACCTAGCAGACCTTACCCTCACTGACTTTGTTGACACCCTGTCCGCAATAGAGGACCGCCACCGCTCTATCGCTCAGACCAGCGGTACTGTGCCGGTCCCTATCTTTTAGGGTTGTGCCCCTGCTCAGTGCACCTTCTCCGACGATTCTGCTGCTGTGGCTGAGACTGCCGCTGCCGCACAGGTTCGTCTGGGGAAGGGTCGCCGCCCCAAGGCTGGACGTGGTGACGGGGGTGGGGGTGCGTGTGTAGGTGGTGCTGGAGTTGGGTCACCTAGTGGTGGTGCTGATGCGGGGACCCTGACAGGTGCAGCCGAGCAGCCGTCTCAGCAGTCGCCGGTGTTGCCGCCGGACCCGCGCCAGCCGCAGCAGCCGCAGCCGCCGCAGCTGCAGCCGTCGTCGCAGCCGCAGCAGTCGTAGCAGCAGCAGAGGCGGACGAGTCGCCTTCCGCCTGGGTGGCCCGGCGCTGTTGGCAGCGCTGGACGTGGTGGTGGTGCGCGTGGTGGGCTGCCGAGTGGTGGTTCGGGTGCCGCGCGCTGTCAGTACCTGCTTCAGACCGGTCCTCGCCGTGGCTTCGTTTGCGGTAAGATCGGTCATACCTCCGTCCGCTGTTTCCGTCGCCTGGACGACTTGTTTCGTCAGCGTTTCGGCCCGTCGCCCGAGCTCCCTGACTGGCACAGCTTGCTTAGTCGTAGGGTTCAGATTTTTGATCTGGACATGGATGAGATTGTTGCTGCTCTGCATGTGATGTATGCTGATGACTCTAGTGTGTTTCCGTCTTATTACCCCTTGTTGCCTAGTGTAGGTGTGCCTTCCTTAGACTCCCCTGCTGTGTCAGGTGTAGGATCCCCTGCTTTGTTTAGCCTTGGTGCTTCCGTCGCTACTTCGCCTCCGGCCGCCACTGCCGCGCTCTCCTTCACCCTCGACTCTGGCGCTTCCCAGTGCTTCTTCCGCGACTCCACCACGTTGACACCGCTTCCTGTCCCTTCCACCGTCTCCCTGGCTGACCCCTCCTCTGGCCCTGTAGTCGCCCGCAGTTCCACCACCCTCCCCTGCCCGACGGTTCCTTCGGGCTCTCTCATAGGCCTGCACATCCCCTCATTCTCCAGGAACCTAGATGGTGTCGGCTGCCTCCAGGACCTTGGCATCACAACTACGTTCCCTGGTCACGAGCGGTACGCTGTCTGTACCGAGGCCGCCACTGGTGCCCCCCTTACCACGTTCCCCTGGGACCCGGTGTCCGAACTGTTCACGTTGGACACTGTGACCCCCCCGGCTGGGACCCCCCCTCAGGTGGCTGCGTCTACCCAGGTTGCTGCTGCCTGCTCCTGTCGGTCACTCACCCACCCGACTCTCCTGTGGCACCACCGTCTAGGTCACCCTGCGCTCCCGCGTCTGCGTCACATGTCACAGCACGGTCTCGTCCTAGGCCTCCCTGGGTCGTTCTCTGAGTTTCCCTCCTCCCCTGCCCCACCTTGCACGCCTTGTGTCGAGGGCCGGCTTCGTCGTCCTCCTCACTCCTCCTCGTTTCCCCCTACCGCCGCACCGCTACAGACTCTGCACATGGACGTCTGGGGCCCCGCCCCCGTCCATGGGCCGCGTCGAAAGCTCTACTTTCTAGTGCTTGTCGACGACTACACGCGCTACACCACTGTGTTCCCCCTGGAGCGGAAGGCTGACGTGCCTGACGTTCTTATCCCGTGGCTTGTCACTGCGCGTGTCCGTCGCGGTCTCCCTGTCTTGCGTCTCCACTCCGACCGTGGTGGCGAGTTTGCCTCTGGTGTCCT